ACGAAACAACAAATACCTAATGACCAAGCGATAGGGGTTCTGTTATGAACTTGCCGTGCGCCCCGACGATCGCCCGTCCAAGAATACACATCGGTCGAATCAACAAGTTAGAACTCATTAGCGAGGGCGGAAGGAAAAAAGTATACAAACGTATTCTAACCACGTATTTAGGACGAAAAAAGCACGTACGAAAATCTCCAAGGCCGGACTGCACTCGGGCCAATCAGCTACTGCCCTTGAGGGTAATCTTGTTGACTATTAAAGCGTTACTTGTATAATTTAAGTAGCACTTGTTTTTATTTTTAAAAAGCTAAGCCGTCTTCGTTTCACGGGCTATTTCGTTCAAGTTCGTACTGTCGAAGAACTGGAGGACACATGCAGCCATCTATGCATTTCTTGAAGTGCTACAGGGACGCTGTTTCCATGACTGATTAGGGGACGTCATTTCACTTCTCTACTACCCTTTAATCGAAAATTATGAACGAAAGTTCAACCTGATCTTTGCGTAACTGCATCTAGTGTCCACGAAGATTGGACAAAATGTGCCACTTAAACGTGTCTTGGAAGCTCAAACCATGCCCAAGGCCATAAATTATCTTGTAATCCGGAATAAGATCTATTTTTGCTACCTTAAGTGCAGAGAGGTTTTTCAAACCTTTCACCAGCCTTGTTCGACGGGGTTGTACTTTTTTCGAGACACGCTGTGTCTTTTGTTTTAACCATGGCGTACACACTCTTTTGATTGTGCGTAATACTCCCGTGGCATTTTTTGCAACTCTGCTGCACTGCAGTGCTGGTTTCACTGAGATTCTTCTGCTTGAAAAGCGATGGTGTTCATATGATATGCCTTCATGCTACTATTTGAATGCCACTTGTTTGAACGCAGATGAAAGACGAGACACTCCTTCACATTGAAATCCACGAACCACCTCTCGGACCGCGTTTGCAGTCAGTGCAGATTATTTTGTGCCTTCTCCTGACCAGGAATGCAACTCAACATGGTCCATTTTAGAAATGTCCTAGATTCTCATTTGGCGGATCATTTACCTTTGTTTTTGTCTGCTTACTTTACTATTACCACTTCAATATAGTGTATTGTTTATGTATCTTGGCTTGCTGGGACTCATGGATCATGTGAACTTCAACGGATTTATTTTCCTCTGACTTACAGTCACTTCTCCGGTCGGGTGTTTGTCAGTCTCGCGGACGGGCACATCGTCGTCTTCCGACGTCAGGCTCCTCCGGCCACCGCTAATGCCTCTTTCGTTGGCTATCCTGGTGACGCCCAGGCGCTAGCTGATCTGGAGGATAAGGGGGTCTTTGCGACGGACACCATCTCCGCCGCCGCCGTCATTCCCCGTTCTGCCACCCAAGACACCGCTATAACCTC